AAAGCTAACAAAAAAAAAAAAACTTTTACGACACCCATTGAGTATAAAATTACTGATTTTTTAAATGATTTTACTTATTGTATGCGTTTATTACTTTTCAAATGAAAATTTCATGCCAACAATATGTTTTACAATTGTTACTTAGTTTTTAATTTCTAAATAAAAGAATCTGGAAAAAAATTTATTATTTAATACAGATTTTTTTCTATACACTGCAGTGAATGTGAAAAATAACAAAATTCCCGAATTAGGCAAATAACGTTTCGTAAAAGTCAGTAATGTACAGTGGTTATAAAAAATAATATATACAGTAGGACTGTATATATTCCATGAATACAATTACTAGGATTGTATCAATATTAATTTTTAAGATCTCAAATCACTTCTGCAATTTATAACATTTGTTGATAGATCGATTAAATTTGCTTTATTAGATATCATATAAATTTTTACAAATTAACGTTGCGAACAAAAATTTAAAATTAGGTATGCGCTATTAAGTTATTCTGAGTTTCTTCTACCTCAGGAATTTGTTGTGTATCCTGCAAACTAGTAGCTGTTTATTTTGTTTGTATTTGTGTATCAATAAGCTATTTATTTTTTTTTGCTTTTTTCGTCATTTATGTTACTATGGTTATTCGTGTAAATTGTATAATTTTAAACTTCGAAATTTTGAACTTCACCTTTTTACTTTGAAGTAATTCAAAAAAAATCAATTTTAAAATCTTGCAAGAGGGAATGAGGAATGTCATTTAAGATACTATAGGAATTTAAAATTAACCGCTTCAGTCGCTGGCTTCTCTTTCTTGTCTTGAGTGGATGTAGAAATTATACTATCTTCTAGCACAGCAGCTACTCGTCGAGCTACCGATGTGTTTAACTTGAATAATCGAAATCGTTGTTCACGAATATCTCGTCTCGATGATTGCGAATCGAATAATGAATAATCTGATGAATCACCTCAAAAGAAATGAGCGCAGTTGGTTTTTTAATTTATTCTCAACCAAAATAGCGTATCAATGCATTAGTTTCAAAAAACGTGATATGATTTAAAAATCTTCGTTGATCAGTTCAAATTACTTTTGGTCAGATTGCTAGATCTTTACAAAATTTTCTTTTATTGATAGTGGAAAAGTACTGTGATAGAAATAAAAAATCATTATATTCAAATATCATCAAATCTAATATTTGAATTTGCTGAAACAAAATGATGCATACTTCTTTGTGGGACTTTTACCATTTGATGATCGATCTCTTCACCTTCCAATACCAGCCCGTGTTTTCCTTCTAGAATGCAAAAATGTTGTCTGATTAAAATCATAAATTAAATTAATATTCTATCGTTCATACTACTTTTTACAGTTAATATTAACGAACTGCTCATTTATCAAACAAAAAGTGGTTTGATAATTTTTTAATCTTAAATGATAATTTAAGGTATTAATTCTTGGTAAATGGACATACTAATCATTTCTAATGATTCCATAGCAAGCGTATTGTCTAATGAATACTCAAATGATGAATCAGTGGTGTCCAAATCACCAATAATTTGATAGCTTCTTCCCCTCAAATAATATTCGATAATGATAAAATCGATAAATCAATGAAGGAAAAATAATGTAATTTTACTTGAAGATTTAATAATTTTTAATACAGTGAAATTTATTTTCATAAGAAATCGTTTGACATTTCATTTTCATGACATTTCATTTATGAGAGAATGTTGTAAAGGAAAAATCAGTAATCTCTCTTCAGGTGTTTAAGGCTAATTAGTCGGTTGTCGTGTAGCAAATATGCTAACCTTCGTTCTTTCGAATTATGCGTTTTCAAATTGTTTGGTACATGTTCAACCTTTTCCGCCATCTTCAATGACTTTTCTGCTTTGTGCATTACTTCGGTACGTTTTAACTTTTCCATAACTTTTTCAGAACTAATTTGATTCATTGCCTAAAATTGGTGCCAATTTATCGATCCCTTCTATATTTCATTTCAAGTTTACCTGATGTCATATTAGTTGACAAAAACTCTTTAGATTTCATAATTTTCCTCCAAAATTCTTAAAGAATGAATTTTAATTTTGGATGAGTTGAGAGTTAAAACGAATTTAAACCTTGTTGTTCTTTTCCGCCGTCTTTTTTCTCTCCATTGAATTAGCAGTTTGCTAAAAAGTTTTTCCACTTATTCTAATTTCAATATTTAAAATAGTTTTTCATTGAACAGTGGACAAATTCTAAGATTGTATGTATGAGAATGCCAATCCATTGGCCAATTGTTCATATCCTGCTATATTATTATTATTGACTATAATTTAGATGGTTTCGCAACCGAGAATTTAATTGTTTTCCCGAACCAATCAAAAATGTAGGGAATTCTGAATTCGCATACTTTTTTTACTGAATCACTATTTTCCGCTGTGGGAAAATGTGATATGGAAAGCACTGTTTCCTTCTTTTTTTCCATTTTTTTGAATTGACAAAGAATTAGAACAGGTAAAACTGTCATTATAGTGCCTATTAGAAATGTAATTGGAAAATCGTTCACATCAGGAATATCACTCATTACAGCTCTAGCAAAAAATATAAAGAAATGATTGCACTGAACTTTTCTTGTTATTTATACATGCTCTGTGGTACCACATATGCAAATTAGACGTGAAATATGCAGCTAAAAGCATTCCGTTCATTTCATTTGAATTTTTTTTGATGATGATAGATGAAAAAAACCAGTCATACTTCCTTTCTTTTTTTTTGCTTTCAACTTTATTGATGCCAAACGTCACACTCTCGAAAATGTTATACAGTGCAGAATGGTATTATGATTCGAATTGTGCAGCCTTATTTGCATCTAACAGATTTATTGTTTACATTTCGAAAACTGAAATTATATTTATATCAAATGAAGAAAAACCATCTCAGATGGTATGATATTGTAAGACTGAATACTTTGAATAAATTTTATACATCTGAGAGTAGGAAAACTTTAGAAACTATACAAATATCTGTTATCTGTAACGATCGGAGCTGTAGTGCCCATTATATTTCGAATTGTCTTTTCAAGTGTTTCAAAATTTCTGCAATGACCTCTGATCCATTTCTGATTGCTCTCTGAACCCAAAATACTTCTTACGGCATCATCAGACCAATTTACCTGTGAATAAATTAGCTATTATGTTGCACTAATGATAACAATCATAATGATAACCAAATGATAAATGAATGATAAATGATAATGGCAATAATAATTAGGCGATAATAAAATTAAAGAATTGAGAACTAGTGATATTTGTTTTTTAAAAAGAAACAAAATTTCAATTTTTGTTTTTTTCTGAAATGAGCAAATCATACTCAGAAAGATGGGAGGTTTTAAGAGAAATAATTTTAAGAAAATTATTTTCATACCGCGGTTCTTAAAAAAAAAATGAATCAGCGAACCCTTTTTAGCAATGCGTTGCGTCTCAAACAAATTGTCATTCGATGTGATCGGGCGATTTGAGCGAGTAATAATGCACTCGCAAAACACATTCTTTCACGTATTGCTAACAGTTTTAGATTAGCTATAAGTAAAGATTAATTAATTTGTAATGATATACCGCTAATAAAGTGATAATTGATCATTTTTTCGTGACCGTTAAAATGTATATTCAAAACGAACGGCATCGATGAGCGAGCTCAATAGCGAAAATATCAACTCGTTTCGAGAACTCTCGGGAACGGTATCGACGTTCAAGACCTTTCTGGAGGAAAAATTGCAGCGTTGTAGAATAGTTATGGCAAATCTAAATAATTCAGTAATTTAATATATAAGTAGAATAATCAGAAAAAAACGAGATAAACGTTGATGTTTAGTAAATTAATTGAAAGAAAATACCACTTAACCGTGACATTCACTGAAATTATGCTGTAAATAAAAATTCCTCTCTAACTTTTCTCGAGCTTTCTGAGACTATTGAAATGAGGAACTGAAAAAGTTAATAAAGGACTTTTTTTGATGTGTAATATTCTTAATGTTGAAGAAGACTCCTGCAAAAGATAATTCTTATTATAATAATATAATTGTAGTGATAAGATTTCTTGATATAACCTCTTGTGTTAATTCACCGGTAAGCTGTCCAGTTGATTTATCGAAGATGATAGCATAGACTGGTGCCTTAGGCTGAATTAGTAATGCATTTTGTCGCTTTCCTGAAATAAAAACATGAAAGTGAAATACGGATTACTTTTCAAATGATTTACTGCAATTGCATTAACTTGTGTAATTCCCATAGATCTTATTTACGTAATTCTGACCGACTTTACTTACGTAATTTCAAATGATCGCTCATTGCTGGAAACAAAAAAAATGTACCTGCCTGAATTAAATAAACTCTCGTGTGATTGTTACGTTCTGCGAAAGATAACCATGCCTTCGAATCAACCGCTTTCGCTCCAAATGTTTTATCGTTCTAAAAAAGCTCTATAAGTGATATCAATCAATGTAAATTTATATCCGTCTAACATGCTGAATGATATTTATATCACCTGTAAAATTATCAGTGATTTGAGATGTCTCAGGTCAGCTAGAAGTATCACGATCGATTCATCAAGATGTTGTGGTGAGACTGTTAAATGTTCCAAAAATAGAAATAATCCAAGTTGTAGAAATGGCCTGTACACTTTCGTTAAATTTATAATACATAATGATATGAGTTGAGAATCAAATTTGTACAAAATCTGCAAATTTTTCAACTTTTAAGGCATTTTAAGTAAATTTTTTTTAAATTTTTCTGATTTGACATAAGTTTTCCTCAATCTTTAAATTAAAGTAAATATCCAATTTATCAATTTTTCATCTCTTTCAGCAATAATTGAAAAGTTCAATAATAATTTTCCGTGCATCATCAATGAAATCATTGCATTCGTATGGTTCCAATTGAAGTTCCTGAAGTGATAATTCAGTAAGTCCATGCAAATGTGATAACAGCGATGATAAACTTTTCAGCATCTCACCACCTGTTCCAAATACCTTCAAATTTCATAGTAAATCTGCTAGGAAGTTTCAACAACATTTGTAGACAATTAAGTACAACTCTCATTATAAACATTCAAACAATTATATATGTAATAGTATTTTTTATTATTTATAAAAAAATAAAATTTCTTTATGTGATAGCAAAATTTGAAAGGAAAAAGATTTCTTTTTTTAATCTATCACTGATATTAAATATGTAAATGTGAATTATTAACTGAAATATTTACCCGTTCAGTTTCATTTTCACCCCTTACGTGTACATGAAGTTGCCATTTAAATGAAAATGATCGAATTCCTTGAAGCGGCTTCTCAGATGAGTTTCTCTCATAGTATTCCGAAAAATTAGTCAAAACTCGGATGAATTCGTACAAATTAAAAAGAATTGTTACCGGTTCAATTTCCAGCACCCTCCATTTCGACGTCGCTTTCACTATTAGAAATCTTTAAAAAAATAAATAAATAATGAAAAGTAAATTGACACGATAATCGATAATCAGTAATTGGAAATGTTAATATCGCTTTCAATTTATTATTGAAAGTAACCTAACAGTTTATACTTTGGCAGAGATAGTGGTTTAGATAGTTCGGATAGTTTTCCTTTTATTTCAACTTTATATGACCTTGGCTCAACAATAAGCAAATCACATTGTGATTTCTCAGTATTGTTTACTTCTAAGTTTTACTGATTTTAAAATAACAGTTAACCTCAACTTCCAATGGTCAATCATATATTGCCATCCTGCATGTGATGTGTACTTTCGTCTTGTGAACATTTTGTCTTTGTACTGAAATCGTCGCCAAGCATAACCCTGCTGGCTTATACGATACCAATTCAAGCATACCTGAAAAACAGGTAGGGCAATAAAAGCAATTGAATTTAATTTAATTTTCAAAAAAATGCATAATTGAGAACACATTTATTTTTTACAGTGCCAAAAAGATATATTTTTTAAGACTTTTTATTTGTAAAAAGCGAATCGGTAATATTATTTTTTAATTCTGAAAATTAATTGAATTTTTAGAATTAAAAACAACTTTTTCAAAACTTCTACAGTGTAATTTTTTGATGTTAATTAAAAATTTTCAAAAAAAATTGCAATTAAATATTAAGCTAAATTTTTTTTTAAAAAACAGATTAAAAAATGATCGACCTGAGAGCAACGTCCCAAATTTTTAATAGGTAATTGGGAGAAAATTTCTTCCAACAACAAATCCGGTAGAAAGGCCCAACCATAAGGCTCTACAAAAGAACTACACATGACTGTAGATAATTCTTTAACATCCTGCAAATTATCAATTACCATTTATAAAATGACTATTTTTAGAAGAGCGATACATATAAAATTTGCTCTCAATTATTTCTAATAAATTGCCATTTCTATATTTGAAAACTGTTCATGCATATACAAAGTGCTGGCCATAACAGGACTAAGCATGTAAAATTTGAAAAAGAGTCCGTCCAAGTAGTCAAGAACAAGATTTGTAGAATAAATGAGAGAGAGGGAGAGAGGGAGAAAGGGAGAGAGAGAAAGATGTTTTGAAGTGGTGCAGTCAGCTGTTCTTAGTAATGCATAATCTTTCAATGAAAACCTTTCAATACGGTGGTGATATTATTGAATCGACAAGGATTTTTCAACCAAATGGTTTAAGTGACTAATGCTGGCGAGAATGAAACGAAAGCAAATGAAAAAAAATTTTTTTTTTGAAATTTCTTTTCAAAAGTTGTTATTCAGGTGGTTGGATGACAAAATAAGCATACTTTGAACAAAGGCACACGTCAAGTTTAATTCTGTTGCAGATATGATGAATGAATCGATAATTGTTATAGCACATGTCTTCTTTGATGTATTAATTATCACGAAATTTGGGAAAAATACACAGTTGATTTACGATACTTGCGCATTTGTATGAATTCAACTTTATCACTTAACGGAAATGATCAGAATGATTGAATCGAATGGATGAAATCTTATTTGTGCAAAAGTATAAGCTTAATGTAGGAAAATCAAATAATCATCGTTCGGTTCGGCGTGTATGAAGCAGATAGTTGATAAACTGAATTGTGTAATAATTTCATATGTGATATTGATCGGTTCAATAGATTTTAACAATCACACGTTTATTAAGCATGCTTTAAAAAAAAAATGTATATATGACTGATCATTAATAATCTGATAACCAACTAAGGTGAGGAATTACTGCACGTAAGTATGAACTAATATAGCTATTATCCGGAAATGTTTGACAAGATTTTGAAATGAACGTGTATAATATATCTTTCTAGCGTTATCAGTGATATATGGCTGATAAGCGAGACAGTTTATACTGATGATAATTGAAAGTTGATAGCTATGAAATGAATAGATGATTTCAGAAATTTTAAAATTACAAAATGAAATCTTTTATTGTTTGGTTGAATTTTGATAAAACAGTAATTTTTACCATCCATAAAACTGATCCCTTTTCAAATACTTTACAGTGTTTTGCAGTTTCCTCATTTCTCTTATCAATGTGCAAGAGACAGGTACAAGTAATTAGAACTTTTTTCTTCACATCATTTAAAATTACTGAATGAATGCATGTAAAACGGAAAGTTGGAAGCTATGCAATAGGGAAATGCGAGGAAGGAGGGGGGAAGCGAAACTTGATTTTTGAAGTCCTCATTGAAATTTTCATGACTGTTACGAATAAATTCTTATTATAAAAGCAAAATTAATCACACATCGCATATAATTGAAAAATGGTTTTTTTTTTGAAAGGACAAACTTTCAATTTTAGCTAAAACAAATTCAAAAAAAAGAGCTTACAAAATTATCATACGAAATTTGAGTAGGACATAAAAATGAGAGTAAAAATTAATTCAAAATGAAAATGGATTTGAGAATTTACATCCCAGAATCAGTGATAGTTATTCATTCATTTGGGACATATGAATAGAGTTTAAAAGCATGAAAATCAAATGTTACTGATAGTAATGCTAAAGTTTCAAATAGTATTTTGATAGAAAAACTGCATATAAAAACATATTGAAGAGAAGTAATTCTTTTGGGAATGAATTTTTTTTCTATCAAATGACCAAGTAAAACTGAGATGTAAATTAAAGTTAAATTAAAGGATCTTAAAGTAGGAAGGGGAAAAGCGGAGAAAGGTGAATATCCAAGATTGAAGCATCTTGTTTAATTGGGAGCTTCGCCCTGAAGAATCTTCACATCCTGCAGGAACAAAAGAAATTCGACGATGAGACAAATCTGAAACACGATCAAATTAAAATTAATCTTTAGTTCTATATAATAACAAATATATCAATAGGAAATGGAACTGAGGGCTTAGTAAACTCGAAGTTGAAGAAGTCCGAAAACTGACTTGAAATTGATTTGTTTCAATCTATACCTAAATAGATCAGGTCAGAATTAGAGTTAAATTGAAACAAATAAATTTGGGTATTGAGACTAATTATCATAAATTGGTAATTATGTTTGCGTTTATTAATTTTCTGGGCGAAAAATACCATTAAAAAAGTCATTTCGACGATACTTTTCTTCCTTATTTTTTCCTCATTTTGAAAAAGAAATGCATCTTAGATGAATGAGAAGATTCCATGAAATGAAGAGGATAACTACGAAAAGATGATAATTTCAAAACTGACAATCATTAGTTTAATTTTTTGAATAAAAACAAAAAAAAACTACTACGAACAGTGGTAATGATGAGGGAAGTTCGGTTGGTGTTCACTTCGATGATAAACCAAATGATAAGGATTGATGCAATCAGGAAAAGAACCACACATACAATCGAATATACTCGTTCCTTAAAAAAATGCTAATAATATTTTCATTGTACATGAAGGAATGACAGTTCTTTATATTTCAATGGATTCTTACTATTTTTAAATCATTTTTTCTTTCAATTCGTTTTTAGCTATTACATATCGATGAAATAGCTGAGAAAGCAAAAATAATGATGAAGGTGAACCAGTTTCCAAGCATTAATGTTGAGGAAATTGATGATGAAAATGACGATATTAATGACCAATACGACAAAGTTCAATCCGGAACAAAATCCAATTCGACCTTCGCCGAAACATGAACGACCACCATACCTGTAGCACTTAATTTGCACTCCTATTTTTCACGATGAAGATACATTTCAAATTTAATTGTTTATTTTCCGGTATATTTCATTTCACCAAAATCAATTAGAGCAAAAGCTCAGCGAAAATAGATTTCTTTTATTCTTAAACCATTTAAACTGCTTTATTGGTGATCCTTAAATAAAAATTTAAAAGTAATTGGATAAAAATACCATGAAGTGCAAAGGAGAGAGCAGACAACGAAACCGAGAATAATTTGCACAATTTTGATAATACCACGATTGCTGCTCAAATACCGAGTGTTCAAACTAATGTCACCCATTTTTTCTTGCAAATTATTGATTGCTGTTAGTTTAGTTTGCAAAAATCCAAAACCTGCAAAAATTTTTTTACTGATTTCAAATTTAAAAATTTTCAGTTCAAAAATATTTCACATTCTTTAATTTGATGTTTTGCCAAACATGACATCACATAGGCTAAAAGTAAAAGTAGTCCAAAAAGAAAAAAATGAAGTCGAAGAATTGAAAACATCAGACAATTGAAACTGAAATTTATAAATTATCATATGTTTGATTTTTAAAGCTGTCAAGAAACTAAAATACTTTCATCTCTAAAGTACCAGCCCAAATGATCAGTCTCGATGATATCATCTAGAAAACAACAAAGAAAGAGAAGTTATTAATACCACTCATGACGGTGTATCAGAACTGTGATGAGAGCATATAAATGTATAAAAGAAACTACGCAGTGCAATGATGGGGTATGAGATCAGTGATGGGTTTAGGAATGGATGCAGAAGAAATTCACATCTTTCATAAATAATCTCTTATTTACACTCTCTCTCTCTCTCTTTGGATGATAGAAGAGCGCCTTCTCTGACATCCACCTTTCTGCCTGATCAACGATATCTTCAAGATATCATTGGCACCATGGCAACTCTCGAAAAAGAGACATTATATTCCAATAGCTTTGAGAAGGGTGACTTCTTGTCGAGAACAATGTGAAGCTTTCATAAATACATAACATTTCAATCATTAACAATTACTTTAAAAAAATATCATTTTATGCCTGGCAATTATTCATAATCACTGCTTACTACTTCCTTTACTCCTCTTCAACTCCAATTTGAGGAAAAAACCTTTCCTTTATTTGAATGAGCAGATAAAAAATTAAAATTCTCACCACAGTTGATCGATCTTTTTGTTAATCAACAATGTCGAATGCATTGAAAGCAGAAAACGAAAAATTCTATCAATTAAAGGCTTCATTTACGTTTCAATTTATCATTTATGCAAATGAAAGCATCGAGTAATAATATTTTTGTTATTAAATTATCACATAGCAATATTGCTATCATTAATTAAATCATTAAGCAACAGGCAACAGTGTTATCATTAATTGTAAGAACTTTTAGAATTATCTATGATTAATTTGCAAAGTCTAAAAAAGACATCCATTTTTCCTAAATTAATGGAGTCGTAGCAAAATTTTATCATATTGCAATAAATCTTTATTTGATGGAATGCATATTTTCAAAATCTATTTTAAAAATAGGCTCAATAAAACTTGAAAACTTTCAAAAATTTTTTAAAAAAATTCTGTAGCTCCAATGATTAGAGATGAAATTTCAAATTCAAAGAATGAAATAACTGAAAATGAAACTTTAATCAAATTCATGTTCTTGAAAAAAATTAAATTTTTACAGCAACATTTCAATACGTGTAAAGCAAAATTAAGATTACATATACGACGTTTGAATCTTTAGCGTTTAAACATTGAATACAATCATACAGAATAATACACGTCAAGTAAGAAAAATTTGTAGGATAGATTAATTAATTACCTTTTTCACCTGGAAAGATAATAGGATTGATAAATAGGTAGTAATCGAGTAGTTGAGAGGAATTAATTTATGAACAACTCAGATTTTGTTTCATTTTGTAAATTTCCTTCACTTACCTCCTAATTTTTACTTTTCCTAGAGAATTGAAGATTTTTTGAATTCAAGGGTGCATTTCACGAGAGACGAATAGAAATGAACTTTTGTTAAGCTTCACAAAAATTTCTCAACTACTTCAAAACATATACTCTAACTAGATGTATGTTTAAAATTTCAAATATTTATGATTCGATAATAATTTTTAAAAAATTAAAGGAAGAAAATAAAAA